TTTGCAGTTCTGAATTACAGGAATATAATTTTAAAAACCTTTAATCCTTGACCAAACACAGCATTATTGCTGTATCTGTAATCTATATTCCAAATCCCAAGCTTTAATTTATTACATTTAAATATTTATTTAAATTTTTATTTAAATTTAAACATTGATATATTTAAGCATTTATTAAATGTTCTGTGCATGCTGCAGAATTCTCATCAGGATCAAATCACACATTAAAAACAGCCAGCAGATTAAATAAATATTTAATTGTAATATTATTATTACAATTAAATATTGTATTATTAAATACAATTAAATATGTAATATTAACTGTAAATATTATTTCTAGAATTCAATTAATGGAAATTATGGAGAGAGTAAAGGGTGTTTTTAGGAGATCCCTCACAAGTTTATTTTCTTTCTCTTCAGGAGAACAACATGATAGTGTATGTAGAAAAAAAAGTATTGGAAGACCCTGCTATAGCTAATGATGAGAATTTTGGACCAGTGAAGAAGAAATTTTGCACCTTTAGGGAAGGTATGGAAATGATTTCTTATGGAAATGATTTCTTAACAGGACAGTTTGTGTGTAATTTTTTTTTCTTGTCTTGGTGTTTTCTTTCTTATTGGGTCAAATTTCTAAAACTTACATCTTTTGCAGGCAGTTGTTACACCTTAATTGTGCTTTTTTATATATGTGAGGGAATGTTTGCATGCTGCAAATTGTAACTTTTCTTCCTAATTTTTGTGAGGAAATTAAGATTGTGGATATAATTTAACTGAAAACTTTTTCTTTTGATGTTTCTCCTAGACTATGATGATATCTCCAATCAGATAGACTTTATCATTTGCCTGGGAGGAGATGGGACCTTGCTTTATGCTTCTTCACTTTTCCAGGTTGGTTCTTATGGGAAATAAACCCAGAAACCTTTTCTTTTGGAAGCATTTAAAAGTGTTTTTTCCTCCTCTCTTTTTTCCTGAGTTCAGCATTTGTCTTTTGTTCCTCATTCCCAATTTTTTACCTTGTGAAAATCATTTAAATGTGTTGTTTTTTATGAAGCACAGTTGAAGTTTCATCAATAGTCACAACATTTACAGGCAAATAGTTGAAGTATGGATTGCTTTGACTGAGTAGCTTTAAAACTCTTTTCTTTATTGATAGGGTAGTGTACCTCCAGTTATGGCTTTTCATCTGGGATCCCTTGGATTTCTTACTCCATTTAATTTTGAGAATTTTCAGTCCCAAGTCACTCAGGTTATAGAAGGTAAATTTAAGGGGACGAGGTGTGGTGTTTGTTTGTTACTTTTTCTTAATAAATTCTTTTAGATCAGCTCTTGAGATTTGAAACTTGAGAAATGCACCTTAAATTACCAGAAATGTACCTTAAATTACCAGAAATGTACCATAAATTACCAAAAATGTACCTTAAATTGCCAAAAATGTATCTTAGATTGCCAGAAATGTATTTTAAATTAACAGGAGTTTTACATTGCATTGACCCATCCAGTGCTGCTCTGTACTGCTCTGAAAAGAAATAACTTTATTTAGTAAATAAGTGTAAGATAATGTAGAATTTCTGTTCAATTGCAACTAAATATAGAAATAAAATGCAGTGTTTAAATACTGAGAAGTCAGGCAAATAAAATATTTGAGGAAATAAATTCTTTTGAGTTGCATCCAAAGTAGATCCTGCAAAGATGTCCAAAACTCTCACTAGAATGTTCTCTTTTAACACATGTTCCTAATGCTTTAATTTTCTTTAAGCTTAGCTTTTGTCTTACTGGAGATCACATGAGCCCAGCAGTGTTTTCCCATTTTAATCATGTCTATATAAAACTAAAATTTTCTTTTAACATAATAAGAAAAGTGGGAAGGGACAGGCTTAAAATTCGGCTTTGATTTTTGCTCGTTGCTACTAAAATTCAATTTTGAGCTTCAGCTAAGTGCAGCCAGTTGTGTTGTGGATGAAAGTGGGAGTGTTGAGTAGCTGGGTGGGGTTTGCTGGAGTGGCTGAGTCACTGCTGGGGTGATTTCCTGGGCCTCAATCTCCTTTTTTTGAGCGTTTTCCCTGTTTCTCCCTGCAGGCAACGCCGCTCTGGTGCTGCGGAGCAGGCTCAAGGTGAGGGTGGTGAAGGAGCACAGGGACAAAGGCTCGGTGCAGAACGGGATAGAGGAGAATGGAGTCGTGTCTGCAACCCTGGAGAAAGAAGTGGGCAAACAAATTATGCAATATCAGGTCAGAGGAAAAAACAAACAAAAAAAAACCCCCAAGATATTGTTTGGAGTTTGTATTTGTTTCATTAAAGCTCTCCCCAGCAGTGTGGGGCTGGGCTTTGCTCAATTTCCCAGTTTTTTGCTGCACAATTTTCTTTGTGCAATCACAAGTGCTCATCTCACACTTTGTCTAGAAATAATTTCACACAATTGTCTAGGCTGGGAAATATCTCCAAGCTTGAGTCCAACCTTCCTTCTATTTTGAAAACAAAGTTTTCAAATCAGACACTTTTATAAATGAGAAAAAAACCCCTGCACGTTGTTAGTGACCAGCTCCTGGGGAATAATCCTTAAAATAGAAATAATTTNCTACAATGGGAATTATTGTATTTCCCTGCCTGATGTGTAGGGCTGTGTGTTCCCCATACATTAATAAATAAATTCAGATCCCTGCAATGGGAATTATTGCATTTCATTCAGAAATATCACTGCAGTGGGAATTAATGCCTTTCCCTCAGAACCATCACTGCAATGTGAATTTATTGCTTTTCCCTCAAGAACATCCCTGCAACGGGAATTACTGCCTTTCCCTCGGGAACATGAATGCAGTGGGAATTATTGTATTTCCCTCAAACATCACTGCAATGGGAATTATTACATTTCATTCAGAAACATCCCTGCAGTGGGAATTACTGCCTTTCCCTGCCTGGTGTGCAGGGCTGTGTTCCCCATACATGAATAAATAAATTCAGATCCCTGCAATGGGAATTATGGCCTTTCCCTCAAACATCACTGTAATGTGAATTTATTGCTTTTCCCTCAGGAACATCACTACAATGGGAATTATTGTATTTCCCTGCCTGGTGTGCAGGGCTGTATGTTCCCCATACATAAATAAATAAATTCAGATCCCTGCAATGGGAATTATTGCCTTTCCCTGCCTGGTGTGCAGGGCTGTGTGTTCCCCATATATAAATAAATAAATTCAGATCCCTGCAATGGGAATTATTGCATTTCATTCAGGAACATCCCTGCAATGGGAATTGCTGCCTTTCCCTGCCTGGTGTGCAGGGCTGTGTTCCCCATACATAAATAAATAAATTCAGATCCCTGCAATGGGAATTATTGCCTTTCCCTGCCTGGTGTGCAGGGCTGTGTGTTCCCCATATATAAATAAATAAATTCAGATCCCTGCAATGGGAATTATTGCATTTCATTCAGGAACATCCCTGCAATGGGAATTGCTGCCTTTCCCTGCCTGGTGTGCAGGGCTGTGTGTTCCCCATACATTAATAAATAAATTCAGATCCCTGCAATGGGAATTACTGCCTTTCCCTGCCTGGTTCACAGGGCTGTGTGTTCCCCATACATTAATAAATAAATTCAGATCCCTGCAATGGGAATTGCTGCCTTTCCCTGCCTGCTGTGTGTTCCCCACCCTGCAGAGTGGATTCTGTGCTGACGTTGGGCTGTTGTGTCCCCCAGGCACATCCAGGACCCAGCCAGCCAGCGGTTGACATGGAACAAACCTCCCAAGAGTGTCCTTGTGATCAAGAAGATCCGTGATGCCAGTCTGCTGCAGCCCTTCAAAGAGCTCTGTGTGTACCTCACCGAGGTGAGAAAATTCACATTACACCTCAGGTCTCTCCTGCAGATCCTGTGCAGAGTTTGTGCAGTCACATCTTCATCCCCGCTGCCACTGGCTGCACTGAAAAATTTGTTGTGCAGAATTTAAGATCAGTATGAGGCTTAAAACTAAATTTATTAAATTATTTAAAATTAAATTAATTAAAATCAAGAAGATCTGTGATGCCAATCTGCTGCAGCCCTTCAAAGAGCTCTGTGTGTACCTCACTGAGGTGAGAAAATTGAAATTTCTGCTGATCCTGTGCAGAGTTTGTGCAGTCAAATCTTCATCCCCGCTGCCACTGGGGGTACTGAAATTTGTTGTGCAGAATTTAAGATCACTATGAGGCTTAAAACTAAATTTATTAAATTATTTAAAATTATTCATTATAAAATTAAATTAATTAAAATCAAGATCTGTGATGCCAATCTGCTGCAGCCCTTCAAAGAGCTCTGTGTGTACCTCACCGAGGTGAGAAAATTGAAATTTCTGCTGATTCTGTGCAGACTTTGTGCAGTCACATCTTCATCCCCGCTGCCACTGGGGGTACTGAAATTTGTTGTGCAGAATTTAAGATCAGTATGAGGCTTAAAACTAAATTTATTAAATTATTTTAAATTATTCATTATAAAATTGAATTAATTAAAATCAAGAAAATCCATGATTCCAGTCTGCTGCAGCCCTTCAAAGAGCTCTGTGTGTACCTCACTGAGGTGAGAAAATTGAAATTTCTGCTGATTCTGTGCAGAGTTTGTGCAGTCAAATCTTCATCCCCTCTGCCACTGATTGTGCTAAAATTTGCAGAATTTTAAGAATTTTAATTTGATCTTAAGATCAATATGAGACTAAATTTATTAAATTAATTAAAATAATTAAAGTAAAAATTTCCATTCTGTTTGCAGTTCTGAATTACAGGAATATAATTTTAAAAACCTTTAATCCTTGACCAAACACAGCATTATTGCTNAAAGCCAGTTTGGCTTTTGTGCTGAGACAGGTGTGCCATGGCCGCCTTACTCTCTCCTAACAAGATGCCTCTTGGGCCTCTTCCTGTGTCTGAAGGCTGACCCCTTACTATGCCACCAGGCTTTGAAGAAAATAATTTAAAAGATCCTTTTCTGGGCTGTGCTTTATTCACTGAATTTACTTGACTTTCATTCTAGTAACAGCCCCAGGTCACTGCTGACAGCACACAGTGTGCAAAGAATGGCTGTGTCCTGCAGTGAGGCCTCAGGTGCTGGAAGGTTTTGTTGCTGGGCATGTGAGGGCAGGGAGCTCTGTTTTGGGGTGTTGTATTTCAGGCTAAGGGTAAGAAACAGCTCAGAAAGATTGGCCTGGATACCTGGGAGTGCTGAAGGCAAGCAAACAATCTCAGCTCATGAACAGCAGGAGTTGTCTTTAAAGCTCTTAAAGAAAAAAAATGAAAGTCACTGTTAGACAATTGTGCAACCTGAGTTTGTGCAACTCCTGAAAGCACGTGGCAGGGCCAGGGGGGAACTTCTCACTGTGTGTGTGCTGGGCTGGGAAATGCAGGGGGAGAGCATTGGCTCATTCACTTTGGCTCAGTGCTGCTGGCCTGGCCTGTTGCTGTCCCCAGGGGTGACAGTGGGGTTTGGTGTCCCCCAGAGCAGTCCTTGGTTATTGATGCTGCTGTCCTTGCCCTGTTATTGTCCCCAGGGGTGACAATGGGATGTGTTGGTGTCCCCCAGAGCAATCCCTGTTCAATACTGATGTCCCTGTTGCTGTCCCCAGGGGTGAGGGTGGGATTTCCTGGTGTGTCCCGGGGTAATCCCTGGTGTTTAGAGCTGATGTCCCTGTCCTTTTTGCTGTCCCCAGGGGTGACAATGGGATTTGTTGGTGTCCCCCAGAGCAATCCATGGATTTTAGAGCTGATGTCCCTGTTTGCTGTCCCCAGGGGTGACAGTGGGATTTGGTGTCCCCCAGAGCAGTCCCTGGTTGTTAATGCTGCTGTCCCCGTGCTGTTTGCTGTCCCCAGGGGTGACAGTGGGATGTGTTGGTGTCCCCCAGAGCAATCCCTGTTCAATACTGATGTCCTTGTTGCTGTCCCCAGGGGTGGCAGTGGGATTCATTAGTGTCCCCCAGAGCAATCCATGGTTTTTAGAGCTGATGTCCCTGTCCTGTTGCTGTCCCCAGGGGTGACAGTGGGATGTGTTGGTGTCCCCCAGAGCAATCCCTGTTGATGTCCCTGTTTGCTGTCCCCAGGGGTGAAGGGCATGTGTTGGTGTCCCCCAGAGCAATCCCTGGTGCTTAGAGCTGAAGTCCCTGTTTGCTGTCCCCAGGGGTGACAGTGGGATGTGTTGGTGTCCCC